TGATATGTACATTGCTAATAGTAGTGTTTATAACTAACATTCTAATCCATATTTATACAAGGTAATTGATAACATAATGACTTAGCAACATACTGATTAGCACTGATGAAGATCCGGGCTTACGGATCGAAAACTTTGCAGTAATAAATTTACGTGGTGTTTCCACAAACAAAACTATTATAATGACTTATGTCTAATAAGTGACATATATCTAAAGTAAAGATCTAAAAGTCGAAGAGACATCACCTGTTTCTCAATACCCTACTAATGTTTGTATCACATACACTTTACCACTATATATTCAATAAAAACTAGTAGTAGTAGTAGTGGTAGTAGTGGTAGTGGTAGTGGTAGTGGTAGTAGTAGTAGTAGTAGTAGTAGTGGTAGTAGTGCACTGTACATACCAGTATAAAGATTATATCGTAATATTTGCACATACCGGTAAAGATTATATCGTAATATTTGTGCACTTATCTATAAGTAGTATATAGTAACTGTACGAGTGTACGTAAGGCATATATGATAGCATTAATATTGAGTGTTTGGGCAATTATAGTAGTTACATCAGTTCAAGTATTATTCAGTAATTTATCAGAATGCAAGACACTTATAAAAGTTTGGTATATATGCTTTCTTAAGCCCAAGACAAACTAGGAAACATTGTTGCGGAAACATTGTTTCCTGCCAATGTTTCGCCATGTTTCCCTGAGTGGGCAAACACTAGGAAACATTAGTGAGAAACATAGGGAAACATCAAATGTTTCTGAATTTGACAGGAAACATTTTTGCTTCCTGGGAAGCAAATTTTGTTTCCGCAACAATGTTTCCACGGGTGGGCAAACATGGAAACATTTGAGGAAGCATCAAGAATCACAAATGTTTCCGCAACAATGTTTCCTAGTTTGCCCAGGGCTTTACAAAATAAATAGTTCAAATAGGGGAATTTTTTTGACTATTTATAATGGTGAAATTTCAGTTACCAAACTTATTACCAGTTTTTAACGATCAAACGTTTAACTCTTTATCATTTTGTTGTTTTGAATTATCTATAGCTTATGGCGTATCATATACGATTACTTTATTTATTTTTTATTGTATGGTTTTTAAATTTTATTAAATACATTAAAACGTGTCGATACACTTATATTAGGTCAAGTAAGTTACAAATTACAGTTGAAAATCTTGATATTCACCCCCAACCTATAAAATGTAGATTATCATAACCCCCTCGCCATATTCATAATGTATAATAATATTAATTTACATGTTGTATTCCTGTCGAAGAATGTCTCTTACCTCGCTGAACGTGCGTTTTTTCCAAGCAACGGGGATGTCGGGTTCCTCGGCCTTGTAGTGTTCTGCCAACTCTTTAGAGTAGGTGGCCATGAACCACTGCCAATAGGTGGACGTTTCAAATGATGGATCTGGGGGGATTGACCAGGATTTATAATAATCATTGACGGACTGATAATCGTTATAATGATGCCATTCTTTGGATGTGCATGCGTTTTTAAAACTCATGTTATCATTAGCGACATCTCTCGTACAAATAGTACTGACTAATATTTTTGTATGCTCGTTTTTGCAACCGGTTGCACCCTGTGGACAATGGTTTCTTGTAAAGTGATTTCCTAAATGATTTTTAACGGTTTGATCACACAAAGCCTTGCACAATGGGCAACAAAGTAGACAACCAAACATTGACTCAAGCAGATAATGCGGTGCTGGATTCCATTTTCGAATAGTTGCGGGATCCACCCCACGTTTGATCAATGAGTCCAAAAACTGTGTTACATTTTCCCGAATTTTAGCCTCAAACACGTCAATTTTGAACAGATCATCACTAATTGCAGCCACTGGGAACTTTTCTTTCGTGATATCGAGTGTAGGATAACCATCAACAAATTTCTCTATCCAGCAAATCAGTTTTCCGCTTCCAGTTCTTGTCTGCGCCCCGCTGGCAGTTGAAATAGCAGCAAACAATTTGTTTTTTATCTGTTTTGCTTCGTTTTCAAGAAGTAACGTTACAGAGGCATGCGAATCCTCTAAACAGTAATTTTCAATTGATTCTGTTAATTTGGCTTTTAGAAATTTAACTGGATTTTTAAGATAAGGAATGTACGATTCAAACTTACCTTCCTCTCCAAGCTGAATGAGAACAGAAGCATGAAATTGACCTTTACTCTGAAAATCTGACCTGTTATTCTTTATCTCTTTCGCCACTACAGCACCCATGGTCCGGTTTAGTTCTGATTCAATTGGTTTCTGAAGTTTATTTGCGATTGAAGTAGCAGCTGCCACTTCTTTTCCCATCATCTCGCTGCAGATATTTACGAAATATTCTTCTAACGATGGTCGCAGGTTTTCTTCCAGGTCACGTCTAATGTCTTGTACTTGGAAATAACGTTCTTCCATTTCTTCAAAAATTTCGAAAGCGTGAGCAAAAGTATAGAGCAAGATATCGCATTTCAAACATTTACGAAATTTAAAGTCAGATTTCTCCGTTTCGTTGTCTATTGTGGTAATAACTTTGTGGTATATTTGTGTAAAGTCATTGAGTGAACACCTAACTCCTGATTTTGACATCATTTTCGCAACATCAAGCGCTTCAGCAACTGCTCGGTCGCTGATTGCTTCAGCCGCAAATAAAATTTGTTGTTGTCGTTGTTGTTGTCGTGCGATGAAATTGAAAAGAGTATTACCAGAGGAGGTTATGGTAAGTTGATCAATATCAATAATTGGAATAATTTCCTTGAAATTTGATATGGAATAGCTTTCTTGTTTTAATTTGTCTCTTATTACCGTGTTTAAAACCGGGTTCGTGTCGGAAAGAACATCTACCATTTCTGTGTTGACGTTCATTCTAATTTCCTGACATTGTGGAACCTTTACAATCCATTGCTGCCATTCTTGTTCGAATGCTACTTTGGATTTCTTTACATCATCGGTACTATGAGCTGAACATATAAATTCCTTAGCTGTTTGGAGAAGCTCTGTTTCATACGTTTGTTTCTTTTTATCAGCCTCATGTCGATTCTCCAAATATTGGTAGGCTGCTTTTAATTTTTTAGTGGCCTCCATTACTTGATTTTCCTTGGTTTGTATAATTTTAATCCTCACATTTTCTTTCCATTGTTCAAGGGTTGCTTTATCTTCATTGGTTTCAAAGAAGACTTCCATTTTAATTGCCATTTTTTCCCTGATTACCTCTGCTTCTTCACGTATCTGTCTTTTGGTCGCTTCCCATTCTTCTTTGCGTTCATCTTGTGTTGTGCATTTGTTCAGAGCCACTCGACGTTTGGTTACAAGCTCTGACATTCCTATCACCATCAAATTCACTAATTCCTCGAAATATTTTCGGTCTAAAGACGTGTAGGCTCTGACTTCGATCGTATTACGAAAACTGAATATGAAATTTTCCTTCAACATGGCTTCCCAAAGATTGGTGACTCTCTTTCGAAACTGAGATACAGAAAGTTGGAATCTATCTTCTAAACACATCAAGGTAATGATGTTTTCTTTTATTTCTTGGACAGCTCTTCCATATTCAGGGTTCACCGGAGCCATTGGGGGGCTACCTTGTGAGAGGTTTGGTATATAAAATACGTCATCGTTTTCATTAAATGAAATTATATCATTAAATTTTTTAAACTTGTCTTCACAATTTTCTTCAGTAGCAGCAACCTTTGCCATTTTATCTAGATCCTGTTTGAGTTTAAAACGAGCGATAATCAACTTTTCGGGCGCATCCGTAGCTGCAACATTTTGGTGAACAATTTTACAAGCTTTTTTTTCTTCGACAAGCTTCATCTTCAAGAAAGCGTGCACAGTTATTTCCAGGAATTCTTTCATTTCATTATGATTTTCACCAAAAATATTCACTATGGTTACATCGGCCACACCAATTGCAAAAGTTGCCAACTGATTGTCATGTTCTCGTAATTGAGGATCTCCAGATCCTTTAAGACCTTCAGTATCAATGATCAAAACATAATCAAAATTTGACGCAGTCTTAAGGGAATCACTAACTGGAATAAGACTAGCAAAAGCGCCACGAGTACACCTACCTGCACTTACTGAGAACTCTACACCAAACATTGTGTTTAACATTGTCGACTTACCTGAACTTTGAACTCCTATCACGGAAATTACAAATATTTTGGCATTGTTCGTTTTCTGCTCTAGTTTGGCATATACAGCATCAAACCACTCTAGTGGAATATAGGAGGAATCGCCGTCTAGTAGCTCAAGGGGATGTCCTGAAAGTAGGATCTCTGCTGCAGCGCTTGCGTACTCGTTTTTGCCATCTGCAAGTTGGTATAGCTGCGCAAGCTCTCTGATAATATGTTCTAAACCAAAGGAGCATTTTGCGATTGATTCTTCCAACTGTTTTAAACGTTCCTCTTCAGATGATTGTGTGTCTGACTTCTGGCGGGTTTCCATTTTTTTCCTCCGAAAATTAAACGAAGCGACACGATATTCTTGATGCAACTTTGCCATATCCTGCAAAGACATCTTATCTAACTGATGCTTTATGTTATACAAAACGCGATTTCGACAAATTTCATCCATCGAAGGAAGACGATTAAGAAAATGAAGAATTCTTTCGTCTAGTTGCGCCAAGGATTCTTTTTGGTCCGTCATTTCTGCTTCAATATCCTTATAAATTTCGTCAGTATCTCGTTTAATGCGACCGCTATCATTTTTGTTTCCCAGACGTTTTGGACAATATTTTTCGCGTTCCAAGTCCGCCAATACTGGAACGTGCATTTGTAATTTCAGAAGGTTTTTTGCTTGTTCGATCCCCAGTTTTAACCAAGTGTCTACGCTTTCTCCCAATCTGAGATATGATTGATCGCCGTCATCAAGGTGAATACCATATTTATTTACACAAGATGTAAGTTTCACTAGGGGTTCTGCCTTCACTGTATGTATATTCTCTTGAATACATTCTCGTACCTTTTGCAAAAAATCGTATTTATTGGCTTGTTTGGCTTTCGTTATCAAAGACAACTTTTCACGGTGTTTGCTTTTTAAATCGTTGAAATATTTACTAGTGGATCGTTCTTTGAAAATAAGAATGACTTTTGCTTTTGATTTCGTTGCCTCGTCCAAAATGTCGGTCATAGTTGTATCAGCATATTCCAAAGGTAGTAACAGACATACCACGGATGATATATCCAACAAAAGATCTAATTGCTTCTTGAAATATCTGGCGTCTCCACGGAGATTTGCAAAACATATTTCATTTAGGAATGCTTGTTTTTTACTCCCGCCAGGAAGATACCAAGTCAATTCAACCAATCCATCAACGACCTTTCTTTCCACGTTGCCACCCTCCATACTTTTGCAGAAAAAGAAGTTATGACCTCCGCTCGCATCACTCATAATTTTGTTCATCAAGGATGATTTCGACATTGCACTTTTGCCAATGCGAATAAAAGAGACAACAGGAAATGGATATTCAGTTGCAAACACCTGTTTCACGCTTTCGTTGTTATTGCACGCACCTTTCCAAGTTTTGGTGATGCCTTTTAAGGCTGAAAGCAAAATTGTAATGTTTCCAGAAGGCGCCAGTGGGTCTGGCAAAAGAAACGGAACACTAAGTTGGCATACAGACAATTTTATGGAAAGATATCGTCGCACAAATTCATCGGAACAGTGAAAAATACCTAGAAATGCATCCATTGGATTGATAGCTAAATCGTTACCTTCACTTTCATCATATTCATAATCATCTTTAATTTTATCTTTATCTGAAGTTACAGGTTTAAATTTAAATTCACGTGCACGATAATCACCGATTATTAATGTTTGAAAAATATAATCAGGTATTTGATTAGGAGACGTTAACTGGACATCAGTTAGTGATTTGTTATCGACTGTTCGTACTTTATTTAAAGTATACTTTAAATCAGGATTATATGGTAGACATGTAGGCCTACAATATTTTGATAGTGCAGTTTCAGGACTTGAATTTTTATTTTGTGTGTCAGTTACTTCATTTGTAGTTGGTGTCGTTAAAGATTCTGAAGTTTGGTCTTTAGATGGTTCATCATTCCAAGAAAGACACTCTTTGCCAGGGAGGTTTGCGGTTTGTACTAAGTTTTGGAAGCAAAAAATCAAACTTAGATGTCTGTGTTAAAAGTACAAGCATAAACATTAAACATCTTTTTCTACATAAAAAATTTGCCGCCAATAATTATTAATCATATTAATCAAATCTTTGACATCTCCGATGCGAGATTACACTACGACAAAAATAATAAAAATAAATAAATTTCACAGAATTGTTCCCACATAATTTTTCTCAAGTAATTGATCACATGTTTCCAAGTAATAAATAAAATGTTTTCAATTTTAATATACAATTTTCAAATAGCCACTAAAGAGAAAATTTAGCTGAATACGCGCGGGCAGTTGAAAGTCCTTTGATTCCTTGAACACCAAAATCCTTCTTAAAATTTAACTTCGGAATTCTGTTAAAGCCAATCGCATAAAAATATCTTGCGCACACAACACTGGAAAGTTTAAAACGCAATTTGAATTAATATAAGGACAAGTTTAAAATGTGCTTTGTGAACTATCAAAGTACAAACCAATTTGATGCACTATTTAAAGCACATGCATGTAGGAGTGTTTCATCATATATATAAAATGGGAGGGCACAGCCTAAGAATTCCATTAGTATTTATTGATAAACCTTTTATTGTCGTCTTGTCTTGATGCATTAAGCGCAAAAGAGCCAATTGCCTTCTCGTTTATAGTAATTCTAATTTAGCCATTCTTGACTTCGGGTTTTTCTAGATCGCTTTTTGTTAGGATATACTAGTATACATATGAACATATAAGGATAAATTAGGAACATTGTTGACATTCATTGATAAAGAATGACACGTGACCTTAACACGCGAGAACATTATTGAAAAACGTTCGTTGTTCATTGCATGTTTTGTGAAAGGCATATTTGTAAATATGAAGCCATTTTAAAGCGTTTTCTTTCAATAAAACTATACAAGTTAACAGGTTATGGGCCCAGGAGATTCCACAATGGACAGTCACACTATAAAGTGGCTATGTTTCACTGGTTTAGCTGAGGATTACCAGGAAGGAGTACGAAATTTATGGCGTATATGCAAACAAAAGGTTTGCACAAGTCACTTCTCGATAAGGAAGTTTTAATGCCAGAAGTCACTCCGTTAACCGAAGCAGCCACAGCCGATGAAACAGCAGAATGGGCAGCTCAAGTAGAGCAATGAAACCAACAAATTAAAGAAATCGACGAGCGAAAGAATAGCGTTTGGTGTCATATTGCGTTAGCACTAGACAAAACAAGTCTTATGTATATTCGACATGATTGTTTGTCCCCAGATGGAACGGGTGATGGAGCAAATGCGTAGCGTTTATTACAGCAACGTTATTCAAACGTGGAAAAGCCTACCGTAGTAAGCCTAATGAGACAGTTATCGCGTTTACAGCTCGGAGAAGATGAAAAATTACACGAATATTTTATACGTTCTCAAGAGCTTATGTCTAGACTATCTGAAGCTGGTGAGAAAATATCAGAAACACTGTTTAATGCATTAATTATTAATGGTCTTCCAGACAAATACGAACATTCTGTTGTACAAGAAAGTTTTAATCCAGCGTCGACATTTACTGAACTAAGAACCCGACTGCAAAATTATGAAGACAGTCGAATACAAAGAAATCAAACGGAAGATAACTCGTCAGTGGCAATGCATTCTTCAAATAGACAAGCTAGAAATAAGAGTTCGACACCACAGACGAAAAATTGCTATGTTTGTGGAAATTCAGGACATTTCGCAAAACAATGTAATAAAAGGAGCTCAGCAACATGTTCCATATGCAAGAAAAGAGGTCACTTGGTAAAAGCTTGTAGAAGTGCTGGGAAAACAGAAACATCTCAAGGAAAAGAACCACCTGCAGTCTCATCTTATTCCAATTGTTTCGTAAGTCCTTTGCAAGAAGAAAACAATGGCTCAGAATATTCAAATTATTTAATCGTGGACACTGGTTGTACAGATCACATCATAAATCGGAATAAGGTATTTGAAAATCTACGTCCTTGTAATGAAAAGAGTGTTAGAGATCACAAAGGAAACCTCACACCTGTTGAAGGAATTGGCGACGTGCCAATAACGGTCCAGTTAAAGGATGGAAAGATGGCAGAAATGGTCCTAAGAAATGTTCTTTATGTACCAAGCTATGAGGTAAACCTCCTTTCAGTCAATACAGCCGTTAGTTTTGGCCATAGATTCATATTTCACGAGAGTAAAGCAAGAATGGTGTTGAATGATGGTCATGAAATTAACTTAAAGGAAGACACTGGTCTGTTCTTCCTAAAAGTCACCTTTCGAAACCTAATCGACCCAGTCACTTGCAACACGAGCAAAGGAGATAACAAAGGAGATATCGGTTTATGGCACAAACGTCTGGGACATCTCATCAAAGTTGATGTAGAGCGTACGATTGGATGTAAGAATAACTCGAAAGACGTATGCGAAACATGTGCAATGGGAAAACAAGCAAGCAAACCAGTACCAAAAGAAGTACAAACCCAAGCTCAGAAAGCTCTCGAACTTGTTTATTCAGACATTCTCGGTCCTTTCGAAGTAGCTAGTCTAAATGGGTCAAAATATGCAGTTACCTTCATAGATGAATATACGAAGTATTCAGTTGTAAAGTATATGAGTAACAAGTCCCAAGTTCTTTATAAATTCAAAGAATAGGTGGCGGAAGCAGGAACACCCCAAAGATTACGGACAGATAATGGGGCAGAGTATACAGCCAAGCAATTTAAAGATTATTGCAGAGATTCAAAGATAAAACAAGAATTCACAGTTCCTGAAACACCACAGCAAAATGGAGTCGCAGAACGGTTTAATCAAACTTTAGTAGAAATGGGACGGTGTTCACTCATTGAAGCAAAACTACCAAAGAGTTACTGGGTAAAAGCTTTAGCTACCGCAGTCCACTGTGAAGAAGTGTCTTTTGGAGTATGTAATTTAAGTACCTTTTGGCGTATGTGATTTTAGTAGTATGACCGCATGGGGAGAAAAACAAAAGTGTGTAAGTTTTATAGCTGAAATAATTGTGAGATCGTGAGAGATATTTTGTGGAGAAGTTGCTTGTTTGTGATAATATGTTATTAAAGAACTTTATGTAAAGTGTTCAGAGTGCTTCGTTACATATTTGGAGGTCCCACCGAGACGGAATTCTGTGTTATTTTGCTTTATATTACTGAATACTGGATGTGTAGTTTAATATTTGTATCACCGCGTGTTTTATGTTCGGTTGTTGGTTTTATCCATTTACTTGAACATGTGAAAAGATAATATGGCAGAAGAAAACGAAGTTGTTCAGCCTGGAAATACTGATGGAAATAAATTGTTTCATTCCTCGCTTAGACGACCAGATAAATTTAAGATTGGTGACGATTTTGATCTGTTTATTAAGAAATTGGAATTGTATTTTGAAGCTGTCGAGCTTGTGGATGAGAAGAAACGAAGGTTTGCTTTGCTGTTTAATCTCAACGAGGACGCTTTTTGCCTAGCAGAATCAGTCGAGTTCATTGAAGGAGCTGATGCTTACAAGAATTGGCTTAAGAAGCTGAAACTGTTGTTCGAAAGAAATCAAACACCTACCGAGAAGAGATATAATGGGGTGTGAGTCAGTCAATTCTTATACTGTGGCGTTAAGAGAAGCTGGTGCAAAATGTGGGTTTAGAGGTGATGAATATGCCAGTAGACTAGTCGACCAGTTTATTCTTGGACTGAGAGATCGTACAACTCAGAGTAAATTATTACAAGAACCTCCAAGTAATTTGGATGATGCTTTATTGATTGCAAGAAGATTCGAAGCTGCAAATGCAACCATGCAAATTTTGGCTATGCAAGGTCAGGGTACAGGCAATAACAGTGTGATCGGAGCTGTGAGTTCTATGCGTAAAGTGGTTACATGTTTTGCTTGCAATGGATTTGGACATGTTGCAAAACAATGCCCTACATTAAGGAACAGTTTCAAACAAGACACTCAGTTGTCGCCAAAGTATGTTATCTCTGTCAAAAGCCTGGACATATAGCTCGTAACTGTTTTATTTCCAAACCAGGACAAGGTGATGTGCAAAACAGTCAAGGTAAGCATGTCGCTAATAGAAAGTCTCTAGTTTGCTATCGTTGTGGCAAAGAAGGTCACATTGCCACGTTTTATCGGACTGTATTGGACGATACTAAGGAGGCTGTACAAAGCCAAGATCAACGCTTGAACAACCAGCAAAACCGAACTTGCATGCAAAACGAAACACAATCTAAGATAAGACTATCAACAATTTCCCCAGCAAGCAAAAGGAAAACCCTCATGGTTGAAGCCTAGATAAATGGGAAATCTAAGCTTTGTATTGTTGATACGGGTGCTTCAATTTCACTAGTTAGCAAGAATGAGTGGCAATTATTAAAGTTTTCCATTTTCCAAACACCCGACACCGAAGCGGTACTTCTGGTTGATGCAAACAACGCGTTCAACTCACTTAACCGTCAAGCAGCCCTTCATAACATCAGCATAATCTGTCCATCATTGGCGACCACCCTGACCAACACCTACAGAACCCCAGTCAGAATGTATTGTATTGTATTGTATTAAAACTTTATTTAGAGACACTAGCCCCGTCAACGGTGCGTTGGTTTCCACGGGGGGCGTCTACAATGTTAAAAATTACAAAAGATATAAGGGAAAAGAAGACTATTTACAAATTGGTGTGACCCCAGATGTTATGGTTAGACGGAGTTACAATTTATTTCAAATATATATATAGTATTAGAGTTAAGTTTTAAATGGCTTTTGAACAGGTGCATTGATTCTGCCAGTTTCGTATCGATAGAGAGACTATTCCATAGCTTAGCCCCACTGTATTTAAAACTCTTTTTTAGGAATTCTCTTTTAGGCTTAGGAAGAGCCAAATCTGTATGACTATTTCTAAGATCATAATTTGTTTGCATATGATTGCGTCTTATCAAGGATTCTTTCAACGTAGGTCCTACGTAATCCTTCAAGACTTTAAACATTAATATTGCTTTGGTTGTACATCGTCTTGTCTCTAAATTGTCCCAAGCAAGAGATTGAAGAACATCAGCAGATCTAATCTCATAACTTGCACCGACAATGATTCGGGCTGCGCAATTTTGAAATTTTTGGAGTTTATTTTTCAAATTTTGATCACAGACGCCCCAAATGGGAGAACAATAATCAAAATACGGCTGAATCAGAGCTCGATAAATTGTTTGAAGGGTGGTTATTGGAACAAAGGGTTTAATACGTCTCAAAGTACCCAGGCCTGCTCCAACCTTTTTGCAAATCGCCTGAATATGTGAATTCCAGCTAAGATTTTCATCTAAATCGAGATCAAGACATGTGAAAGAGTGAACTCTGGGGATGCGTTGGTTATTTAACATCACTGGATGATCAAAAGTTGTGGAATTAATATGATGTTTAGAGCCAAAGAACATTATTTTGGTCTTAGTTGGGTGGTGTTGTAATTTATTTCTAGAAATGTACGTAACAGGAGACGGCGAAATTGCATCAACTGAAGGAACAACCCAAGGAGATCCGTTAGCAATGGCGATGTATGCACTCGCGATAAGCCACTGATTGATAAGCTGAAAGCTGGTTGTCCTGATGTACACCAAGCATGGTATGCTGATGATGCCACAGGAGCGTCTACCTGCACAGGAATCAGACAGTGGTGGGATGAACTGACTGATCACGGTCCCTCGTTTGGATATTACCCTAATGATTCCAAGACGTACCTTGTGGTGAAGCCAGAATTTGAGAACGTGGCCAAAGACGCATTCGTGGGCACAGATGCATACCGACCCAAGGGAAACGACATCTTGGGGCTGCTATTGGTTCTAAAACTTTCACTGAGGAATATGTTGGCAACAAGGTACATGAATGGACCAATGACATCATGAACCTGGCTCGTATTGCTTCTTCTCAACCACACGCAGCGTGCGCAGCATACATGCACGGCTTATCTAACCGCTGGTCTTATCTCTTAAGAACAGTTCGAGATATCGAAGACCTAATACAACCACTTGAAGACGCAATACACATGCATCTTATCCCAACACTAACCGGACGACCGCCGTGTTCTTCCATTGAAAGAGATCTCCTCTCACTTCCTGTTCGTCTTGGAGGACTTGGGCTTCGTGATCCATCAACAATGGCCTCGGCTTGTTTTCAATCCTCACAGCGCATTACTGCATCACTCGTTGCACTGATAATCTGCCAAGACGAAAATGAAACGATTGATTGTAACAACGTTCGCACGGTCAAAAGCGAGATCAAGAGAGAAAACCGCCAGAGACAGGACGAACACGCTGAAATAACATACTGTACAACCAGCTGACACCTGAAATGAAGCGTTGTGTGGAACTTTCTCGAGAGAAAGGGTCTTCGGCATGGTTATCTGTTCTCCCGCTTGAGGAACGCGGGTTCTATTTACACAAGGGAGAATTTAGAGACGCACTGTGTCTATGGAAAGTGAACAACACGCCTCAAACGTGCAACTGTGGTGCTCAATTCACCGTAAATCACGCCATGATCTGCCACATGGGAGGTTTTCCAACTAGCCGCCACAACGAGATTCGTGATTTAACAGCGTCACTCCTCACTGAAGTGTGTAGCAATGTCGCCACAGAGCCAGCACTTCAACCGCTGAGTGGAGAGAGCATGTCAGCTCGCACAGCCAACACCGACGACGGTGCCCGAGTTGATATTCGGGCAAGAGGCTTTTGGAATGGTCAGCGGGATGCATTTTTTTTATGTAAGGGTGTTCTATCCCAACGCGTCCTCCTACCGCTCGCAGAACCTCGCATCCGTTTACAGAAGACACGAACAGGCCAAGAAACGAGAATAGGAGAGAGAATTAGGAATGTCGAACGTGGTGTTTTCACGCCTTTAGTTCTATCAACGACGGCGGCATGGAAAGAGAGGCTGAAACGTTCTATAAATGTCTTGCGGATATGATATCAATAAGAGACAACAAAAATATTCCGCGACCATAGGTTGGCTACGATTTAGAATATCGTTTGCATCGTTACGATCTTCAATAATGTGCATTCGTGGAAGTAGATCCTCGATACATCGGCCCATATTCGGGGATTCCAACATCTCCCTGGCAACTTCCGAGGCACGGATCCCTCGGCCTCGTGAATAACTTGATTGAGGACTTACGTACTGACATTAATAAAAACAATTAATAAATATATTTTTAAAAATAATAATAATGTATAACGCATGCTTGAAATGTTACATATTAATAAATCTATTGTTACATTTAAAAAAAAATTATTAAAGGATAACAATGCCTCTTTGACTCTATCTGATATCGTTGCTGAGGCAGCAAACAATTCCCCGATAGGGATTCTGGGTAAGACTGCCTTGGATGTTAAAGTTGACCCTGGGCACATATCATGCCATGAGTTTTATGTTGCTAGTGACATGATATCTGAGATTATTCTTGGCCTGGGCTGGCTAATGAGTAATAAAGTCAACGTTGACCTTTCAAGAATGGTGTTGACATTTCCTGATTTGTCTATCAAACCCTTGTCTGTGTTTGATTCGACTGTGTTAGAGCCCTTAGCTGTTGTTTTGGATGAAGATATTGAAGTCCCGGCAAAGCATGAAATATTTCAAACAGCTCGAATAAGAAATCCTACCATTTCTGAAAGTATTTTGGAACCGAACATGAAACTACCAGGAAAGGGTGTTTTAGTTGCTAGAGTTGTTGTTCAGCCAAAGGAACAAAGAGTTCCTATCCAAATAATAAACCCAGGAACAGAACCGGTTTAATTATATAAAGGGATGAAAGTAGGATATCTACAACAAGTCGATGATGTTGAGATGAGTGATCCCATTCTTATACCAAAAGATTCCCCCAATGATATCAATTTCCAACTTGATCATTTACAACCAGAACAAAAAACAAGAATGGAACATTTGCTAAATAGTCATAATGATATGTTTGCCACAAATTCAGGAGAGTTAGGCCTTACATCAGTATCAGAGTATAAGGTTCAAACTCAAGATGCAGTGCCCTCGACGTTTGCCAAATGCACTTCGACCTGTTGTAGAAGAACAAGTTAGTGAAATGTTAGAGAACCAAGTGATAAAGCCAAGTAATTCACCCTGGGCCAGCCCCATAGTCTTGGTGCGAAAGAAGGATGGTGATTGGCGCTTTTGCATTGATTTTCGAAAATTAAATGAAGTAACCGTAAAGGATGCATTCACTTTACCCCAAGTTGCTGATTTGGTTGACTCGTTATCAGGACATAGATAATTCTCAACGCTAGATCTGGCGTCTGGTTATTGGCAGGTTCCAATGGAAGAGTCCAGTCAAGAGAAAACAGCCTTTGTTATCCCCGGAGGACGACATTTTGAGTTTCTACAGATGCCATTTGGGTTGACAAATGCGGTTCCTACGTTTCAAAGGCTTATGTCAGTCGTTCTGGAAGGTCTCTTGCCTCTTAGGTGTCTTGTATACCTAGATAATGTACTACCGGTCATTGGTCGGTCTTTTGAGCAGCATTTAGAGAATCTGGAAGCAGTTCTAGAAGCAATCAGCAAAGCAGGACTGAAACTGAAACCTTCAAAATGTCATTTTGCACAATAAAGTGTAGACTTCCTTGGTTTTACTATTTCAGATTCAGGTTTGGTTCCAGATTCCAAGAAAGTGGAAGCTATCAGCAGATATCCAACTCCGAAAGACCTGACAGAGTTAAGGCGCTTCCTTGGTATGGCTTCGTACTACCGCAGGTTTATCTCTGGGTTTAGTGACATTGCTAGTCCACTAATCGTCTCACTCAGAAAGACATGCCATTTGTATGGGATGAGAACTGTGAAAATGCATTCCAAACTATCAAAGAGCAACTTATGTCGAGTCCTGTTCTGGCATTAGACTGATTTAGATCGAGGACGCGGACGTCAAAGACGACGTGAAAATGGCGTCAAAATGGCGTGGCATATCCATACATGGGCACAACACGCCATTTTCACGTCGTCTTTGACGTCCGTGTCTTCGATCTAAATCTGTCTATTCCCAGAACCAAACGGTGATCATATTCTATACACCGATGCAAGTGATGTAGGAGCTGTTTTGGTACAATAGGATGGAGAGGGGGATGAGAAAGTTATATCTTATGCATCAAAAGCGTTCTCAGGTTCAGAGAAGAACTGGACTACCACAGAGAAAGAAGCATACGCTGTTGTTTGGGCTCTCCAATATTTCCATCCTTATGTGTACGGACGAAAGGTGGTCATATATACAGATCACAAGGCTCTAAAGTGGTTGAAAAACGTTAAACATCCGAATGGTAAACTGGCACGCTGGATTTTGAAACTGGAAGAGTACGAGTGTACGACTACACTATAGAACATAAGCCTGGTAATATGATGCAACATGCTGATGCACTTTCCCGTGCCCCGGTTAACAGCATTCGGATTTCCACATTGTCGTGGACGGAACTTGAAGAAACTCAAAACCTGGATGATGATATTCTGTTGGTAAGGAGATGGGTATTGAAAGGTTTAAGACCAGATGCTAAACCAAAAGATACCAGCCCGATGTTGAAAGCGTTGAACAATGTCTTTGAATCTTTAGTCGTTAAAAAGAATGTTCTTTGTCGAAAATGGATCGATGAAGATGGTAAAGAAACGTTACAGATCGTTGTACCTAAGTTGGCTTCACCTGCAATTTTGAAAGATGCCCATCAGCAAGTTGGTCACCTTGGAATAGCAAAAACATTCGAAATGATTCAGAGAGGGTTTTATTGGCCTGGATTTTACAAAGATGTAGAAACATTTTGTAAAAGCTGTGAAATTTGTGCGAGAAACAAAGTTGTACCAAGACCTCGAAGTCCTATGAAACCAATTGACATTGTTCCAGTGCCATTTTACATGATAGGAGTAGATCTTATTGGTCCTTTGAAGTTAACACGTCAGGGAAACAAGTATATCCTTTCCATTATTGACTATTATACGAAGTATGCAGAAGCAATAGCTCTTCCTAATCAAGAGGCGGAGACAGTAGTTCGAGCTTTGGAACAAGTGTTTGCCAGGCATGGAATGCCTTCAGTTTTGCTCACGGACCAGGGCCGTAATTTTGAATCTCATCTAGTAGCAAGTATGTGTCAGTTGTTTGGGATAGAAAAGAGGAGAACTACCGCTTATCACCCACAGACATATGGACTATGCGAGCGTTTCAATAAAGACTCTCCTTCGAATGAGAGTTATTGACAATGATAAGGACGTTTGGGATGAGCAACTACCTCATGCTTTACTAGCGTATCGAGTTAGCAAGCAGTCTTCTACCGGAGCAACACCATTTGAAATGTTGTATGGAAGAGATCCCAGATTGCCTGTAGGAGTAGAACCTGAAGAACTAGAAACCAAACCGACTCATGGACCCGCCAAGTACCTAGAAGATTTAAAGAAGCGACAGAATTATTATTATTATTATTATTATTATTATTTATATTTATTACACATATTATTTATATTTATTTATTAATATTTATTATACACGATGTCGCGACAGCAGCGATCGAAATTAAAATGGACAGAGCAAATGAATACAGATCTGCTGGAATGTGAGAAGAAAGCGATGGAATTCCTTAAATCGGAAAACCCGCCATGCCATGTGAACGGCAGAAAGAAAGGCTATATACAAGTTATGAAAGATCTGTGGGACAAGAAAGGATACGAACATCTTGGATTGAAGAGCCAAAACCTGCGAGATCAAGCCGCTAGGCTTGAGAAAATTAACGCTGCAGCTGAGACTCGTGCTATCGGTAAGGTAAGCGGCGGAGCGGTTATCGATGACGATGAAATTAGACATTAGATGAAAACCAGAGAAGGCATAACACGATTTCACAACATGAATTTAACAATTTTGAAAATCAAAACACTATCACAGGGAGCAGAGGAGTCGAGTTTATCTAGTAAAACAATACAAACGCCGTCTTACTTTGTTAATTGTAATATCTTTCATTGTAGAATCCCCATGTGTGCATTAAAAATGCATATTTTACAATTTATAGTCTGTTGAAATTGTCGTGAAACCATATAAAGTTTATAAACATTGTATGCCTTGTATGATTTTTTATTCGTACTTCATGTAACATGAACACCAAATGAATATACTCTGCTGTTCTAGATTATCATGGGCTCACATTTCGCTATACTTAGTAAACAATAAGAAACGAAGAAAGGGAGGAAACAGTCATTGGGGTGATATTTTAGGATGGCTATAACTTGCTTAGTATTTCATAAAAAAACATAATTTTTTGCATGCAAGCTGGAAATGATCTATTCTTACTACGCTAGGAAATAAATTTCAATAAACGGTCGTTTAACCTACATATTTGACGACCGATATTCATCGATTATTTTCGTACGATGTGCACCGCAACACCCTATGACGGAAATGACGTATTGTTTCGTGTTTATGCATGATTGTTCAAATTTTTCGAATACTAATTACAACTGTCAAATGAAGTTCTGCTTCGTCATTGGTCAATGGCCGGTTTTATTCACTTCCGTCATAGGGTGTTGCGGTGCACATGCGACGAAAGATCTGCAATGTTTCCTCCCTTTCTTAGTTTCTTACTCGTTGATATCTCGGACAGTGTTCGTTAGCTTTTCGGGAAATACAAGTTTACGGTAATTCAAGACAGCGGAGTATATTAATTGTTGAAATTCATATTTTGGTTTTATATTCGATAACTTTGGTGAATAAATATGTATTTTTAATGCACACAATGGGATTCTACAATGAAATATACTAGAATTAACAAGGTAAGATGGTGTTTGTCTTGTTTTACTAGATAAACTCGACTCCTCTGCTCCCTGTGACACCATTAGTCAAAATGCAAATTTGGAGGTAAACAGCAATCTGGATTTGCATACAGACAATGATATTGTCCAAAACAGTCACGAACGGCAAGAAACCGAAGCTGCAGAGTGCTTTGAAGTGACTAATGACTGTCCTGGTGAACCACACGCCGGCATACATGAAGCAGGACGTCTACCCGACTATGTTGCTGTTGATATACCATCGATTACCATCTGGGGACGCAGAGCGGACGGCTCAATAATTACGGTCAACTTGTCAACCATAATTAATGCATACGATGAAATTACGCGATGGCGTAAAAATACTTTTCTCGTCCCGTATGGCAAAGTTGGGCGAGACTTTATCGACCAGCTAACACAACATATAAACGATTGGAACAACGCATCGCAAACACAACACATAGCGCTGAAAGCTGCAATTGTTCTCTTGGCAACGGCACTGCAAAAGCCAAGCGTAAAATCGAAGGCAAAAGATCACAAAGAGTGCTTGGAAAAACGACTAGCGCTATGGAAAGAAGAAGAAGTCGAGAGCTTACTTCGTGAAGGCCGGTCCATTCAAAAGCGTCTAGCAAAGGCTAAAAGGACGGAGCCTCCAAATAAAGCGAAGATATTCGCCAAGTTGGTCATGGAAGGTCAGATCAATTCTGCTTTGAGATATCTCAGTGAGGCTGATTTTGATGGAGTGCTGCCTTTGACTGACGACGTGATGAGACAGCTTCAGGAGAAACACCCTGAGGCACAAGAGGCCAAACTTGGCTCGTTACTCTCCGGGCCATTTGAGGAAGTGCACGATTCGTTATATCAGCAGATCGATAGCGAGACAGCATTGCGAACCAAGGGCTCCGGCGGCCCTTCAGGAGTGGATGCAAATGGATTCAAGCGTATTTTCTCATGTAAATCGTTTAAGAAATCAGGCGTAAACTTGTGTGAGGCAGTAGCAACAATGACCCGGCGGCTATGTACGGAATACATTGACCCGAGAACTATCGAGCCTATATTAGCCAACAGGCTTATACCTCTTGACAAAGGCGAGGGCGCGGTTCGTCCAATTGGCGTCGGGGAAGTTATCAGGAGGATTGTTGGGAAATGTGTTATGAAAGTGATTAAGCCCGACGTGATTGATGCCAGTGGATCGCTACAGGTGTGCGCAGGTCTTAAGAGCGGAAGTGAGGCAGCCGTTCATGCGATGCACTCCATATTTGAAGCAGACGAGACAGATGCCGTACTTCTGATTGATGCCTCAAACGCATTCAACGCACTCAATCGAGCGGCTGCACTCCACAACATAACAGTTCTGTGTCCATCTATGTCAACCTACGCAATTAACACCTATCGCGAACCACCTAGACTATTTATATCTGGTGGAGGAGAGCTCAAGTCCACCGAGGGCACCACAGAAGGGGATCCCCTGGCCATGGGGATGTATGCCATCAGTCTTCAACCCCTGATCACCGGATTGAATGTGTCAAGCAACGTTAAGCAATGTTGGTTTGCTGACGACGCGAGTGGCGCGGGATTTCTGGAAGATATCAAGAGATGGTGGGAACACCTGAATGAAGCTGGCCCTAATTTGGGATACTTTCCAAATGCTAAGAAATGCTGGCTGATCATAAAGCCTGGAAAAGAAGAAAGTGCTCATGCTATTTTTGATGGGACAGCGATCAATATCTCTGCGCAGGGGCAAAAGCATTTGGGCGCAGCCTTGGGTTCTATGGCTTTCCTGGAAGAATACGTGAACGGCAAGGTAGAGGACTGGGTTAGCCAAATCGTCAAGCTAGCTGAATTCGCAGCGTCACACCCACAAGCCTGCTATGCCGCCTTCACCTTTGGCCTCCGCCATCGATGGACGTATTTTCTTAGAACACTTCCAGATATAGAAGATTTACTGGAGCCCTTGGAGCGTGCTATTGATGATGTCCTGATACCATCAATTACGGATCATCACTGTACAAAGAGTGAAAGGAATCTCCTGGCACTCCCAGTACGAATGGGCGGTCTTGGCCTTATAAATCCTAGACAGGATGCAGCACTGCAGTACGAAACGTCAATAAAGACCACAGCGCCACTGGTAGAGAAAATTATCGCACAAGCCTACGAAATTCCAGATGACTCTGTTATTCACACACTGCAGCAGAATGCGCGAAATGAAAAGAACGAAGTACTTCAGGCTAAACGGGATGGTATTAAGTACTCTCTACCCCCGAAAACACGGCGTGCTATGGCACTAGCAACTGAAAAAGGCGCATCCAACTGGCTAACAGTTATCCCCATTAAGGAAATGGATTACAATCTGAACAAGGGTGAGTTTCGAGACGCAGTAAAGCTGAGATATGAGTGGAAAATTGCTGATAAGCCATCAGTATGCGTGTGTGGCAATACTTTCAATATTGATCACGCAATGATCTGCAAGCGAAGTGGGTTCATCATACAGCGCCACACCGAGCTGCGAGATCTTAAGGCTGATATGCTTAACATCGTCTGCAATGATGTCGAGGTTGAACCCGTTCTTCAAGAGTTAACTGGCGAGGTTTTACCAAGTGGAGCAAATACAGCATCCGACGCTCGCCTAGATATCCACGCTCGAGGGTTTTGGGAGAAACAAAGGTCCGCGTTCTTTGACATTAGGGTTTGTCACCCCAACGCGGAATCCTACAAAGACCTGAGCCCTCAACAGATATACAGGCAACATGAAAACGAGAAGAAGAGGATGTATGCCCAAAGAGTGATGGAGATAGAACACGGAACTTTTACACCATTAGTATTTACAACGACTGGAGGCATGAGTGAAGAGTGCAAGAGGTATCATAGCAGATTGGCCGAGCTCATAGCAGCGAAGAAAGGCGAAGACTACTCTACGACCATGTCCTGGATACGAGCCAAGGTCTCCTTTGCCATCTTGCGGTCAGCTCTACTTTGTCTCAGAGGGACTAGAGCACCCAGGAGGATAAATACGAACGTTCAAGAAACGGACTTCGAAGTAGACAATTCTCGTGCCAAAGTTTAGGCTTAGACTTTTACCATAAATTCTTACTATAACATATACTATAACATACTACAACAATTTAGACTCACTTCCTTATATATACTAGCAATTAGTTATTAATGTAGTAGGATTATTTTATAAATAAATTATTATTATTATTAAAAAAATTATTATTAAATTATTATTATTATTATTATTATTACTATTATTATTATTATTATTATTATAAAGCTTTATTTGCATGACCTAATTACATGTATTGCTAAGCGTAGATTATGTACCGTTTAATAAACGAGCAGGAGTGTTTTATTAGGTTTAAACGGCTTCAAACACGACTACAAATTCAATATAATACCGGGTGTCCCAAAAAAAAGTACTCCTGTTTGATTTATAATAACTTCTAAACAAGTAAAGCTATCAAACAGAAATAACTTGCATTACATATAGGAAGGGCTAACTTAGATTTTGATACGTTACAGTTGTATTTTACTTAAAAATTCACCGAGATATTAATGTTCAAAATCTGGAGCATATTTTCGGATGTGTCTAAAATTAGCGAAAATCGGCATATCAAATATAACTCCAGCGTTTCTTTGTTTAATGACATATCAGGCTAACTTGTATTTCAACGAATTGTCGTTAGGGTTTGTATTAGGGATATGGCGTAGATTTAGACATTTTAACATATATGCATGTAAGTCTTAGCTCATGTTTCCTGAAATATGAATGTTCGAAATTATGCAAGTATTTAATAGGTCTTTACAAACTTAAAGGTACATGAAAGACCACTAAGGCAGGCTTAAATATTTCTTAAATAGCCTAATTTTTCTTTGTTTTTCATGGGTTAAAAACAGAGTTGATTATTTCTCGGTTAGAGCAGGATGAATATTATTCTTTAATGAAGGAAATAATATTGCTTTTTGCAAATACACATCACAGTATAGACGCTACTATTTTGTTACGTTTTGTTCCAAAAATGTTGGATGTCTCTGGGGAGTTGCTTGTTATGACTTATGGAGTTGTATGGTTTGATTGTGTTTCATTCTCAGTTTATTCTGAACTTAACAAGATAAACAAGATTAAGAAAAGGCAAAAGAGTTTGTGTTTTCTTAACAAGATTTCAGAACTTTGAAGAAGTTAGAAGAGCTTCACAATTCTATTGTGACAGCATGCCCTACACTGTTAATTTTAGGGTGTTAAAATAACACCACTAAAAAAGTGTTAAAATAACACTAGATATGGTGCTAAAACAACGCCCATTTTTAGTGTTAAATTAGCACTAGTTTTGGGGGTTAATTTAACACCTGTTTATAGTGTTAAACTAACACCACTTTTAAGTGCTAAAGTGACACCAGTTTTAAGAGTTGATTTAACACCTATAGTGTGGCGTTAAAATAACACCTGATTTGGCAGTGCCAAAGCAACACCTCTTCCTATCTGGTGCTAAAATAACACCAGATTTAAGGAGTTGATTTAACACTTTCAACCAGGCACATTAAGACACACACAAAAGAGAAATGTAGGTTCAAAATTGGTTATTATTATAAATTACTCGCTGACAAGAAATACCTTTAACATGCATGAATTTATATGAACTAAGTATTTATCACGATTAATTTCGGAGTCCAAGCTCACTTAAAAGTTGTTGTACAGAAATTTTGTTCTCGGCATCAGCAGGGCGGTTTAAGGTGACAGCTTCTAAATTCTAGAAATGCATAAACACTCGAAACACCTGGAGTGTATTCCATATTTAGAACATGGAATGTAGCAATAAGTATGTTAGCCTGCAAGGCAGGCGGTATTTCTACGGGCAGCGAAAATTAGGGAAGCAAAGGAAATACCGTCTGCCGCAAAACTAAGGGTTTTTGAATTACCCGTCCGCTGGTGAACGGGAAAAACGGATTGGTTAGTATTTTTATGTAGTTGTCAATCAACGGCTAAATTCGGTTAAATGTTAATCATTAACCAAATGTTTTGACGTTTTGAAACTCTGCGTTTTGAAATTAGTTCACGTCAAGTCAGACCAGAAATGGAATAACATAATAAAAGAAGCAAATTAAAAGATACAAGCTGGAAAATAATACTCTAAATAGTGTTATTGATAGAGATCCGAACAAGAATATTTAACAAAGAAGATATGTCCGAAGGGGCCGAAGTTATGATCGGCGAAAGGTATGGGCTAGTCTATATTTTCGTTCAGACAATTACATTCGTATTAATTTGATAATATACTATCTCGCTTGACTTTCAAAGGCCATAAATCGCAATAATGTTGACATTTTACTAAAACTATCGATAGAAATTAGGAGATATTTCTTCACTGAATCGAACAGTGGGATTTCCATATAGGCCTATCAGTCATGTTCTGAACCAAAGATACTTGATAGATATTATATACGAACCTCCAAAGTATAAACAAGGGGCCGGTTGATGCAGTAATTATCAAATAAAAGCTAAACTCTTATATACCCGTTGAATATGTATAGTTGTAAACAAATAAAAACTATCGTTCTATAAGGTTCAATACTTTCAGACCAAACTTTGGTTGTTGACTGATGATGAATCTATAGTATAGACTTGCATGCTTTGTATTTTGAGCTTATTAAACCAACGTTTTAAGGCAGCTAAACGGTTTATATTAACACATAAAATAAATTCCTTGATTCTCATCACTAGACACAGTCTACACTTTGAAATGTCGAAGACAGTGGGAGATTTATTTTTTATATTTTATATTTATATAATTTATATATCAATAGTTCGTATCTCCACGAACAATGATAGAATGACTGAGTTTCACTCAAAATTCTGTTTGTTTCAAATTGGAAGTTTAAAATGGCAATACAAACTGATATATAAAATATGAAAAAATTAACTGTCTTGAATTATTTTGTCGGGCGGTACATTTATATTGTATAACGAAAAATAAAACGTTTTCACGAGGATTTTAAAATTCAGTCGGGCGGTGATGAGAATCAAGGAATTTATTTTATATTTTTATGTTGGGCAGTTGGGACTTGGGAGCAGCTTGGGAGTGGCTAATTTTGAATATTTACTTAATTAATTCATCTATAAATAGCGTTGATGCTTCAGGGGCGGTAGTTCATTTACACCCAGTTTTGCGGCAGGCGGTATTTCCTACGTACCGCCTGCCATGCAGGCTATAAGTATGTGGAATATTTTTACCAGCAAAACGCAAGTAAATTTGCCCCACGGCAGCAATGTACAATGGGTCCAAGGATGCAATGTCACCTGATGCCAAGATTCAAGGATAGCTGTAGGTTGATTTCCTCACTTCTTCATCAATGGACAATGGGGTCGTCATCCTAAAAGTATTCATTTTCACATTAGTTTATATAGTATATATATTTAGTAACTTTAAATGTTGTCAAGTTCTAATGCAAATGCTGTATTCTGATTGGCTTTACGCTACTCGTTATCTAATTGTCAATGAGATAGCTAGCTAGAGCGCAAACCATCTCTTTGTTGAGACAAATAAGCATTGATCACATGCAATGATAGGATAAGAGATGTGCCATCTCACCTTAACACTACATGTAGCAATTTTAATTACTTCAAAAGGGGTATGCACAGTATATAACAGAGGGTAGCCATTGAGCAAGTGTCCCTTAACTATATAATTAATCACTGTTACAGTTCAATTCCATTTTGCCATTGAAAAATCATGTCAATACATCGCCATTTCAAGAATGAAAAACTACTTCATTATAATGTTACCCGTGTCAAATGGGTCATTTGTCCAGGACGGAAAAGAGATGTGCCATGATCTCACCTTAACACTACATGTAGCAATTAATATTTTTTCAAAAGGAGTACAGTATCTAACAGGGAAGCCATCGAGCAAGTATCACCTAGCTTAACTATATAATTAGTCAGTGGTACAGACTGGCCCGTACAGTCCAATTGCATTTTGCCATTGAAAAATCATATCGGTACATTGCCATTTTAAGAAAGAAAAATTACCCCCATTATAGTGTTAATTAACTGTGTCAAATGGGTCATTTGTCCTGGATGGATAAGAGATGTGCTATCTCACCTTAACAAGTGCTACATGTGGCAATTATTCTACTTTAAAATGAGAATCTGTTGCAATAAGAACTTATTAGGTTTAGTGTATCTTTTGACATGGTTGAGAAAGAGAATTATGTTTGGGGATTTTATAATGTGAACATTATATCATAATCAATACTTTCACTCTTAAATATTAATACTCAGGACTCTCCCATTGATAGCCCAATGATAGGTAAAATTATCTCTGTCATGTATATACTGTCATGTGTATACTGTATCTCATCTCACAGACATGCAGTATTAATAAAATAAATTCCATCGTTCAGTAATCAATATAAAACATTACCGTTTCGGTTTGCCATTGAAATTTAATGAATAAAGTATTGTTGGTCTGTGTTGTTGTGCGTAATTTGAATAGAATGCACAAAATCTTGCATTCCTCTATGTATATGATATAGTTGAGGTTGGGCATTTAACAGCCATTTCCCGATTTTCCATCTCAGGTTCTAAAATACTTGTCTTTATAATTGAAATGAAAGGAATAAACGCAAGATAAATCAGACAAAACTACAGTACTTGTAAATCAAAACGCGCGCAAGTTTTCTTAACTGAGACTAACGACAATCGCAGACAACAATCACTATAATTCTCGCAGTATTATAATAACTCACCTTATTCCTTTCGACGTTTATCACATCTTTGAAGTTACAGGCGAACTAATTCTAAAGCATTGACGCTGTGAACCACACGTTTTGAATTGCATTGGCGGCCAGACCTTTGTCATTCAAATACAAACAGCAACCTTGCTCGCTTCTTCCTCACACAGTTTTAAAGCCATCTTTAAGGTAGGTAGGTAAAACTTTATT